TTCTCCCTGGGCAGCCCCAGCGCTGCAATCCGGGATTGTTCAGCACCCAAGGGGCCAGTCTGGCCGCCCTGCGAGGTGTAAAACCCGCGCTGAGCAGCGCCGGGCTCTGCCAGACGCTGCGGAGCTGCCGGGGGCAGAGCCGGCATTTTCCATGGAAACTGCAGTTGCCAGGGAAGGCGATTAATGCGTGGTACTTAAAGACCGTAATTCCAGCCCCCTCAGCTCCCCCGGAGGGTTTGGAGCCCAGGTCTTCGAAATGCAGGGTCCCTGCCCTTGGGGTGGGCAGGCACCGGCTGGACATGGGGGTCCTGTGAGCCCCCAGCCCCGCCGCTGCCCTGGGGCTGCCCAGGCACCTGCTCCTTCTGGGGCTGCACATGAAGGCACCAACCAGCTCTGAGAAGTGGTTCAGCTCGCCATGTGCTTTGCAGAACCCAACTCCATCCGTTGCTGAGAAGAGCCCTGGCCCCTTTTCCCATGTTGGCAGCCAGGGCACAACTTTTTTCCTGGGACAACGGGGCCCATGGTCAGCACAAGCTGCTGCTCCTGCTCCAGCCGCTGAGCTGCACGCAGCTTTGCGCTGGTCTCAGCCAGGAAATGACCCCCCGGGCAGTGGTTCAGGAAATTCATTAGCCAATTCCCTTAGCACATTAGGAGACACTTCACACACATCATCTGCAATCACCGGCTTGTGGCGGCTCTGCGTTACCTCCCCTGTCTCCCCCCAGGGTGTCTGGGCGCCTCGGCGTCCCCCCACGCGCTGCTGGGGGGGCTGCCTGGGAGCCCTGTGCCCTCCGCTCCTGCCCAAGTGTCTCTGCTTCCCTCCCCACCCTGATCTTGGCTTCCCTGGGCATCCTGCTGCAGGGAGATGGGGGAATCTGTCCCCAGGGCAGTGCCAGAGGCAACTCACTGACACCAGCGGGCACTGGGACAGCTGGGGTGCTCCCACAGAAACCTGGGGCCCTAAAGCTGATGTGTTACCAGAAACAGCAAACCAGCATCCCAGGGTTATTTGTCATCTGGACTCTAATTCTTAACGGATGTTGCCATTAAACCATATTTTATGCTTTCAGAAAGTTGGCTAATTTCTTATTAGATCCTTTGCCAGGATACATTTAAATTATTCTGTCCTTAACAAAGCATGAAATAAAACACTCTGCACAGTGACTCTGTAATGAGATATTTAACAGGCTTTAGTTTGTAAAGGGCAAATGTGTATTTCAGGGAAGTGAACGCAGGCAGGATGGAGTGTGGGGGGGGGTGGAGGCAGAGGGGTACCCTGGCACGGGTGATTAAAAAGGGCATCTTCCACATTCCCAGAAAGAGAAGTGATTAACGATCTGAACTCCAGATTGCATCCCCACCCCCAAACTGGAGCTGTGCTGCCAGCCCTGCCTGCTGCCTCCCGGAGCTGCCAGCCCCTGCTCCCTCCCTGCTGCCTCAGCACTGCCCCTGCCCCCTGCAGCCCCTGCACAGCCCCTGCCCGC